GATGAGAACATGATGAGAACATGATGAGAACATGATGAGAACATGAAGAGAACATGAAGAGAACATGAAGAGAGCATGAAGAGAGCATGATGAGAACATGAAGAGAACATGATGAGAACATGATGAGAACATGAAGAGAACATGATGAGAACATGATGAGAACATGAAGAGAACATGATGAGAACATGATGAGAACATGATGAGAACATGAAGAGAACATGATGAGAACATGAAGAGAACATGAAGAGAACATGATGAGAACATGAAGAGAACATGAAGAGAACATGATGAGAACATGATGAGAACATGAAGAGAACATGAAGAGAACATGAAGAGAACATGATGAGAACATGATGAGAACATGATGAGAACATGATGAGAACATGATGAGAACATGATGAGAACATGATGAGAACATGAAGAGAACATGATGAGAACATGAAGAGAACATGATGAGAACATGAAGAGAACATGATGAGAACATGAAGAGAACATGATGAGAACATGATGAGAACATGATGAGAACATGATGAGAACATGAAGAGAACATGAAGAGAACATGATGAGAACATGATGAGAACATGATGAGAACATGATGAGAACATGATGAGAACATGAAGAGAACATGAAGAGAACATGATGAGAACATGATGAGAACATGAAGAGAACATGAAGAGAACATGATGAGAACATGAAGAGAACATGATGAGAATATGATGAGAACATGATGAGAACATGATGAGAACATGAAGAGAACATGATGAGAACATGATGAGAACATGATGAGAACATGATGAGAACATGAAGAGAACATGATGAGAACATGATGAGAACATGAAGAGAACATGATGAGAACATGAAGAGAACATGATGAGAACATGAAGAGAACATGATGAGAACATGATGAGAACATGATGAGAACATGAAGAGAACATGAAGAGAACATGAAGAGAACATGATGAGAACATGAAGAGAACATGATGAGAACATGATGAGAACATGATGAGAACATGAAGAGAGCATGAAGAGAACATGATGAGAACATGATGAGAACATGACTTTGTCATCATGTTGATATCAAGTTGGCATCATGTTAAGATCATTAATTATTGTTGACCTGGATGTTTTACATTAATCCTCATTCATCTAACTCACCTGGTTGATATCGACACTTCTTCTTTACAGAGAGTCATACAATAAAACTAACTTACTAAAATGTGGTGATGCTAAGGATAATTTCAAGTTTTTCAACAATCATTCCCTTATCTTGTAGAGTAAATGTTCTTCATAATATTAGATACTGTTGATGCTAGAGTGGCATACTATAGTGTCATTACATGTATAACATTCCCTTTAAATAAAAGTGACATTAAGCAATATGATACAGAGTGGACAACATATTTTATTATGTAATGTATTGCATGCAATATTTTATGCAAGAATCGACACGGCACTGCCGTAATCAGTTTTAACTTATACATACACAGAATGTACGTGTACCTAAATCATGAAATACTTTGTATAACTTGGTGTGATAATATAATAAGAAAAAGGCAACCCTTTAACATGTGTTGTTTCCGAGGTGGGCGACAGTAGCTCAGTTGGTAGAGCATTGGCCTTAAGCCCAGAAGGTCGTGGGTTCAATTCCCACCTCTGCACCTTCTCCACCGACTCCCACTGATGACTGCTGTCGTTGTGTCCTTGGGCAAGACACTTAACCCCACTTTGCCCAAAGCCCCCACTGAAAGATCAAGGCTATGCTCACACTCAGAGAGCAGCCGTCCTCCTGTGGACTCACCACCTGCAGAGGGTCAGTGAGGGGCTGGTGCTATGAGACTTGGGTGGCATCTCTGACTGCCACCCCCCTGACCCAGAAATGGATTAAAGGGAAGAAAATAGATGGATGTTTCCGAGGAAATACGTAGAATACATATAACAGTATCATGATAAAAAAACACAAATAATAATTTGTGTTTTTTCCTCTCCTCCTTAGTAAAATACTTTACAGCTTCCTGGTTTATTGGCATGGGCTCACAGGATGTCTACAAATACAATAAACAAAGGTTTTTATATGTGCAACTTAGTCCCTCTCAGGATGGCGTCAAACTGTTTATAATGACAGTTGTATACCATCTTATACTTTGACTATGTATTAACTGCTCAATAGATTTATAAAATAATTGTCTAATACAGACATGGAGTCATAAAACATTAGTTCAGTCTAATTTCACATTCAACAAAATTACTTTAACACAGCAGCAATAAGATGTGGGCATGACAATAGGATACAAATTATATACAGTATCTTAGCCTTTGGATAATGATGCAGCCAACTCTGAGCAGTGGGCATGTGCAGAACTCTTACCAACTACACATCAATACTTTCCATCTTCACAACAGGGGCTGAGGCATGCATGACAAAAAGGAACCAAGAAGGTTGCACAGAAGGTTGCCGGGATGTGGTGGCAGAGAAAAGGGTGAAATTGCAGGGCAGCATTGCACTGATACAGACAACACAAGCATCTTAAAAAGAGAAAATACTTGGGCTTACAGTACATATTTATAGATTCTAAACAAATAAATATACTCAAAACCAAATAAATCCAACATACTCATAAATAAATAACAAACACAACAAAATACACATAATAAAAATAAAAAGAGCAGAGCATAGAACATCTTCCCTGAGCACTTGCAGCCTCTGGAGTAAGGCATAACCGTACTGCTAAGATCAGCACAGCCAATTTCTGAACTCAATCTTTGCATTTCATTAAAGTATAGAGCAGGGATGTCAAAGTCAAATACATCAGAGGGCCAAAAAAAAACATTTGCAAACAAGCCGAGGGTCGAACTGGTTCAAAGTTTATTGAAACATATTAAAATGATTGCATATAACCTATTGAACCAAGACCTAACACAGTGTACTGTATTTTATTTAATGATTAAATGTATAATGATTAAACGTATAATCCATTATTTTTTGTAGTTTAACTGACCACAAGTGGAAAGGAATTATTCAAGTCTGCTTCTTCTTGTTTTGAATAAATCCTGTTTACCTTTGAACTAGCTGGAGTTCACTGATGACCAACGAGACAATGTTCATTTTACATGCGTTTACAACAAATCAACTCACAGCAACATGAGGACGGTGGCTGAGTGGTTAGCACTCTTGCTTCTCAGCTAGAAGGTCCTGGGTTCGAATCCCAGTCGGAAGAGGGCCTTTCTGAGTGGAGTTTGCATGTTCTCCCCGTGTCTGCGTAGGTTTCCTCCAGATGCTCCGGTTTCCCCTACCACTAAAAACATGCACAATAGGTCTGAATGGATGGTGTTGGGTCAGAGGCTTTGATGGTCCAGTGTGTTCTGGACTCGCTTCTGTCATCACCGTGTGTGGAAGGATTGGAACAATATCTGACTCTGAACTTTGTAAAGTGCTTTGGGTCTGTACCTTGGTCTGTAACATGTGCTATATAAATAAACATTACTTACTTACTTGCAAATCATTGAATGCATAAATGAATAAGAATCAAAAGAGCATAGCTTAGAACATCTTCCCTGAACACGTGCAGCCTCTACTGGAGAAAGGCATAACCGTAATGCTATCAGCACTGTGGTTCTGAACTCAATCTTTGCATTTCATTAAAGTATAGAGCCAGGATGTCAAAGTAAAATACATCAGAGGGCAAAAACATAATTTGCCGAGGGCCGGACTGGTTCAATGTTTATTAAAAAATATTAAAATATTTGCATATTGAACCAAGACTTACCACAGTAATGATTAAATGAATAATCCAATGTTTGTGTATGGCTCTGTCAGTAATTTCAGGTGAAAACATTTTTCAACAGGCTCTAAGACAAAGACAAACTTCCTTCAAAGAGAAAACACATGTCCTAAACAATAAATGAACAATCCAATATTTTCTTATGTCTCTGTGCGGGGCCGGTTCTAATACTAATCAAATATCATCCCAGGGGCCAAGATAATTAATTAACGGGCCTTGATTTTGACACCCAAGGAATTGAGCATTGTAAGACAGATATGCATTCAATGATTTGCCTCATGTTGCTTTGAGTTGATTTGTTGTAAATGCATAAAAAACATTGTAAAACATTGTAAAACATGCATGTTGGTCATCAGTGATCTCGAGCTAGTTCAGTAGTAAACAGAGTTTCTTCAAAACAACAAGAAGCAGACCCTCTTGTGGTCAGTTGGACTTTACATTAAGTCATTATGACTCAAATATATTCCCAGTGAAAATAATTCAGGGTGGCTTGATAAGTCATTGTACTATACAAAGAGACCGTTGTCAAAACATCAGGGCTGAGAGAGTCCTAATCAATAGATAAAAACATTGCACATTCAATTATAACATCTGTATAAGCAATTTAAGTCATCAAAACACATCTTAATACAAGAATACCGTTGAAGCAACTTCACAGAAGTTAGCGAAGCGAAAGCAGAAATAATATTTTTTGAGGGGAAAAAAGCAAAGGATAACCACATGTCTGAACAGTATGTACAGTATATCAATGGTATTCAATATGTCTATTCAGATGTCTGTCAAATAATCTTTGATCTGAAATGGATAGTTGCTAATTTTTCCTTGACTTGACGCTTGGGTTGAAATGAAAACATTTACTATAAAATAATGCCAAAAATAATCTCAGTGGCTGCTGAGTTACTTCACTATGAAAATACATGTCCTCTGTTGTAGTCTTTATCAGACTATCAGGGCCCCCACCTGCATGTGAAAGCCTGATTTCATATTAAAACTGTTAAAAAACTAAAATGTTACTTTGTTGATATACTTACTGTGTAAATATATAAGTCATTTGATAAAAGAAGATTACATTGTGAGAACTATAATACTCTGTTGTATTTTATTTGGTTTTGTAAAAGTGGTACACGCTGCAGTAAATGGGTACATTACTGTCATTATCTTTGCAGCCAATCATAGCTTGTTGAGCAGGGAGTAAAATATTCTTTTTGTGTAATATTGTATTTAAAACTTGTCATTTCCATTGAGCAGCCCTGCAGTGGATGCTGCCATTTCTGAACAGGTGCAGGAGGAACCTAAAAGGGGTGGTTCTGTTTGCAGAACTGATTTTTCCACACCCAAACCTCCTGATACCATTCCAGCAGGAGAAAGGGACTTCCTGTAAAACAAAGTGCAGTATGAGACAAGTGCAAAGGATTTGAATACAATTATTCTATTCCGCAAGAGTCACCGAAAGGCCATCTTTTTCAGACGATGAATGTCAATCTTGTCAAGTGAAGATACGTCTGGTTCTGTCGTCTGAGAAGCGAGTAGAGGTGAAGGGCAAGAAGGAGCCAGTAGGAGGGTAGTGTCCTGAGACAGAGGGGAGGTCTGGACTTCCTGAAACAATTAAGGAATAAGCATTTCAATCATTTTAATGTTTTTTTCTATTGAGTAGAACAGCACTTCTCAAAGTAATCAGTGGAACAATAAAACTCAGGACCAATCATAAGTAAAAATATAATGTACGTTGAAATGGAAATATTTTCATGTGTTTGAGTTAACATAATATTAATGGATCGTCTTAAAGGCACAATATGTAGGTTTTGCTCTTATTTTACACGGTGTCTTATTTTCATGTAGAACATATTTGCTCCCTTGCGAAAGTATTAACACAGCTTGAACATTTTGTCATGTTTACAACCATAAACACAGCCAAAAGTGGTACTGCAATCACTGTCAATATTCTGTAGTCCTCTGGCATATCTGCATATCTGGCAACCTGAGTCTCCCTGACTCAGGTTGCCAGATATGCACCAAATCCAGCTGGGACCATAACAGCTGAATAGACAAGAGTTTTGTCAACAACAAATCTATAACCAACACTTTTTTCACAGAAATTAGGCGATTTTAGGTTGAAATACGTCATGTCTGCGTAAAACATCACAATGGAGCCCACAATATGCAAACACAAGGAATGGTGAAAATGTCATTATTATTGTCATTATTGTTATGTCATTATTGACTCATTGACTACCAGACCTTTTTTAGTTCTGCAAACAGCCACCGAATATTCAGTTATTTGACCATGTAAACTCTTTAAAGTAGCAATACGTAAGATTTTCATGTCAAGTCATCATTAAATGGTCCTAATCTGTCAAAAGGCATTAATGCTCTTTTCGAATACTTCTTGAACGTATAACAGTAGTTCAGCTGAGATACTTGATTTAAAAATTTGTTTTACAGCCCCTAAATCTTGTTATCGTTTTCATTTCGATGTCCTGCCCTCCACCGTTTTACCGATCAGAAAGTCCGTGATTCGCTGAACTAAAAAAGGTCTCGTAATGATCGCCTTGTTTTGATTGAAAGGAGGGCATAAGAAGTCCTTTTTGAAGTTGAGCTCCAGAGCATTCAGCCACTCTGCCCCCAAACTCTGAAACACTCTGCCGCTTGACCGGCATCACATCTCAAAACATACCTTTTTAAACTGGCTTATTTGTTTTCATTTTGTAATGTTTTATATTCTATACATTTAATAATGTGAGAGTGTTCACAGTAAAGTGTCAATAAAGTATCTGGACACAGGCACATTTAAGAGATAGTGTGGATAAAATCAAAAGGAAAGATTGACAAATATATTTTTGGCAACATTTTAAACGACCAAATCAGCCTCTGATTTGATTCAGTTACATCGAAAATAAAATGTCCTCAGTCTGAAAAAGTGGCAGATTAAATCCCACAAGATTAACATGGTTAACACAACATCAGTAAATCACTTGATTTAAAAAGGAATATAATCTTGTGGTAAATTTTTGTGAGGTTTTGTGTTTGTTCAGTGGGTCAAATACGAGATCAAACAACAGAAAAACTGTATCAGGGGGCGCTAATGGGCCAATTTAATTTTTCACACTTTTCGGTGGCCTAGGCCCAGGAGTTGAAAAAAAGAGTCAAGTTTAGTGTCAAAGCCGCTCTAGCACCTCTCGCCACTTCAGCCACTCCCATTGAAATTTGTAAATTTTTAGTGACTGAAATGCAAAGATAAAAATATTCAAACATGCTTTTTCAAGGTTAAACATTTCAAATGGAAAAATTCAAGCAAAAAAAAAAATCAAAATCTGATGACACAAAAAATCTTCCATAGATTATCCCCATGTAAAACTTTGACATAGTCTGCAGGGGGCGCTAAGCGGCCAATTTCAAGTTGGAGTTAAACAATGGATTAAAGTTTTGTGCAAATAGGACTTTTTTATTTATTTATTTATCTATTTTATTTCAGACACTCACTAGACATGTACACACAAGACACACAACATAACGCAATGACAAATCCCACCCACCAGGCAACCTCAAAACAAAATACACAAGCCCGCCGACAGATGCATTACTAACAGGCACGACAAAAAAAAACAAAATATATAACTAAATAAACAACAACAAAAAATAAGAAAAACAAACCAAAATAAAAAACATAGAGACCAAACACACACAAGTCCCCGAGGCCTTCATCCACTTCTCCATTCTCTCATTTCCCATTTTCTATGCGACATCAGACCCATTTCAACATCTTCCATTTTTTTTCGTGCACAATTATCCTTTTTGTGTTTGAAGCTATTATTTTTTCCATTACATATTGTTGTTTCAGTTTATTTTTAAAGTTATTCAAACAGAGTTCTGCATTGGTTTTACATTTAAAGATAACAATTTTACCCATCAGGATGATTACATTCTCTACATTCGTTGAGTTGCTGTCCAAGATTCCCAACATCATATTCATGGGATTGATGTTGATCTCGATCCCGAGTCCACACAACCCTCTTTGGACCATCGTCCAGAATAATGAAACAGATGCATTAGGTCTTCCTCCTCTTCACAGAATCTACACATGGGGCTTTTAATTATCTTACATAAATTCAGGTGTTTTCTTGTTGCTGTAATTTTATAGAATAGCTTTATTTGGAAAACCCTAGAGTAAGAATCTATGGCAGTTTTGTATATATTTTGGAAAAAATGTTTCCATAAAACAGGACAATTAAATTCATCTCCCCATGCAGTGCAGATTCTCTTCCAGACATACACACATTATACTTGTACATATGTTTGTTTATCTTGTCCATTAAGAGTTTGTTGCATCTCACTCGTGGCAAACATACTAATAATTTGTCCTTATCTTTCACTGTTCTTTTCCATTTCCATGGGATCGCTGACAGCAGCTGATTGTACTTGTATGGGTCCAAACAATATCCATAGTTTGTACAAAAATTAGAATGAGACAAAAAGGTTCCAGATGTGTCCATTAGATCATTGATAAACATAACTCCATTATTCAAACATGATTCCCATAGAAAAGGTCGCCCTTCGATTAGAACATTAGAATTCATCCAAAGCAATGGATTTTGAATCTTCTGCAAATAGGACTTTGTATGTCCAAACGGGAGCAAATTTGCTAGAGTCAAAAATTCTCCGAAGTAAAAATTATGGTAAATGTGTTTAGACCAGTGTTTTTCAACCTTTTTTGAGCCAAGGCACACTTCTTTCATTGAAATCACATGGCACACCACCAGGAGAAAATGTTAAAAAATATATACTCTGTAGCCTATATTTACAATATAAAGTCCTAACTAGATATACAAGCCTTGACATTAAGCTTTGTTTAATATTTCTCAATACAATGAGTTAACAAGAGTTTGGGAATAAAGTGGCACTAACTGTGGAAAAAAAACATAACAAAATCCACTCGCAGCTGTCCATGAGTCCATGGTTCTGTCCACGAGTCCATGGTTCTGTCCACGAGTCCATGGGTCTGTCCACGAGTCCATGGTTCTGTCCACGAGTCCATGGTTCTGTCCACGAGTCCATGGTTCTGTCCACGAGTCCATGGGTCTGTCCATGAGTCCATGGTTCTGTCCACGAGTCCATGGTTCTGTCCATGAGTCCATGGGTCTGTCCACGAGTCCATGGTTCTGTCCACGAGTCCATGGTTCTGTCCACGAGTCCATGGTTTTGTCCACGAGTCCATGGTTCTGTCCACGAGTCCATGGTTCTGTCCACAAGTCCATGGTTCTGTCCAAGAGTCCATGGTTCTGTCCACGAGTCCATGGTTCTGTCCACGAGTCCATGGTTCTGTCCACGAGTCCATGGTTCTGTCCACAAGTCCATGGTTCTGTCCACAAGTCCAGGGTTCTGTCCACGAGTCCATGGTTCTGTCCACGAGTCTATGGTTCTGTCCACGAGTCTATGGTTCTGTCCACGAGTCTATGGTTCTGTCCACGCGTCTATGGTTCTGTCCACGCGTCCATGGTTCTGTCCACGAGTCCATGGTTCTGTCCATGAGTCCATGGTTCTGTCCACGAGTCCATGGTTCTGTCCACGAGTCTATGGTTCTGTCCACAAGTCCATGGTTCTGTCCACGAGTCCATGGTTCTGTCCACGAGTCCATGGTTCTGTCCACGAGTCTATGGTTCTGTCCACGAGTCTATGGTTCTGTCCACGAGTCTATGGTTCTGTCCACGCGTCTATGGTTCTGTCCACGAGTCCATGGTTCTGTCCACGAGTCCATGGTTCTGTCCACGAGTCCATGGTTCTGTCCACGAGTCCATGGTTCTGTCCACGAGTCCATGGTTCTGTCCACGAGTCCATGGTTCTGTCCACGAGTCCATGGTTCTGTCCACGAGTCCATGGTTCTGTCCACGAGTCCATGGTTCTGTCCACGAGTCCATGGGTCTGTCCACGAGTCCATGGTTCTATCCACGAGTCCATGGTTCTGTCCACGAGTCCATGGTTCTGTCCACGAGTCCATGGTTCTGTCCACAAGTCCATGGTTCTGTCCACGAGTCCATGGTTCTGTCCAAGAGTCCATGGTTCTGTCCACGAGTCCATGGTTCTGTCCACGAGTCCATGGTTCTGTCCACGAGTCCATGGTTCTGTCCACAAGTCCATGGTTCTGTCCACAAGTCCAGGGTTCTGTCCACGAGTCCATGGTTCTGTCCACGAGTCTATGGTTCTGTCCACGAGTCTATGGTTCTGTCCACGAGTCTATGGTTCTGTCCACGAGTCCATGGTTTTGTCCATGAGTCCATGGTTCTGTCCATGAGTCCATGGTTCTGTCCACGAGTCCATGGTTCTGTCCACAAGTCCATGGTTCTGTCCACGAGTCCATGGTTTTGTCCACGAGTCCATGGTTCTGTCCACAAGTCCATGGTTCTGTCCACGAGTCCATGGTTTTGTCCACGAGTCCAGGGTTCTGTCCACGAGTCCATGGTTCTGTCCACGAGTCTATGGTTCTGTCCACGAGTCTATGGTTCTGTCCACGAGTCCATGGTTCTGTCCACGAGTCCATGGTTCTGTCCATGAGTCCATGGTTCTGTCCATGAGTCCATGGTTCTGTCCACGAGTCCATGGTTCTGTCCACAAGTCCATGGTTCTGTCCACGAGTCCATGGTTTTGTCCACGAGTCCATGGTTCTGTCCACAAGTCCATGGTTCTGTCCACGAGTCCATGGTTTTGTCCACGAGTCCATGGTTCTGTCCACAAGTCCATGGTTTTGTCCACGCGTCTTTGGTTCTGTCCACGCGTCTATGGTTCTGTCCACGAGTCTATGGTTCTGTCCACGAGTCTATGGTTCTGTCCACGCGTCTATGGTTCTGTCCACGAGTCTATGGTTCTGTCCATGCGTCTATGGTTCTGTCCACGCGTCTATGGTTCTGTCCACGAGTCTATGGTTCTGTCCACGCGTCTATGGTTCTGTCCACGAGTCTATGGTTCTGTCCACGAGTCTATGGTTCTGTCCACGTGTCTATGGTTCTGTCCGCGCGTCTATGGTTCTGTCCACGAGTCTATGGTTCTGTCCACGAGTCTATGGTTCTGTCCACGAGTCTATGGTTCTGTCCACGCGTCTATGGTTCTGTCCACGCGTCTATGGTTCTGTCCATGCGTCTATGGTTCTGTCCACGAGTCTATGGTTCTGTCCACGCGTCTATGGTTCTGTCCACGCGTCTATGGTTCTGTCCATGCGTCTATGGTTCTGTCCACGAGTCTATGGTTCTGTCCACCCGTCTATGGTTCTGTCCACGCGTCTATGGTTCTGTCCACGCGTCTATGGTTCTGTCCATGCGTCTATGGTTCTGTCCACGAGTCTATGGTTCTGTCCACCCGTCTATGGTTCTGTCCACGCGTCTATGGTTCTGTCCACACGTCTATGGTTCTGTCCACGAGTCTATGGTTCTGTCCACGCGTCTATGGTTCTGTCCACACGTCTATGGTTCTGTCCACGCGTCTATGGTTCGGTCCACGCGTCTATGGTTCTGTCCACGCGTCTATGGTTCTGTCCACGCGTCTATGGTTCTGTCCACGAGTCTATGGTTCTGTCCACCCGTCTATGGTTCTGTCCACGCGTCTATGGTTCTGTCCACACGTCTATGGTTCTGTCCACACGTCTATGGTTCTGTCCACGCGTCTATGGTTCTGTCCGCGAGTCTATGGTTCTGTCCACGCGTCTAAAGTCCGCGCTCGGTACTACGAATGTGCAATCGCTGAGCTGTCAGTACAACGCGGCCACAGCTGCCCCGGGGTCAGAGCGGAGGATGTGAGTCCTGTTCAGAAATGGCATCATTTCTTTTCAAAAACGGACTTTCACTTCTCACTTGCCACAATGGACTCTGCTGGAAGTGAATCTTTGCCCCGGTCGAAATACTCTTGCTGCTCTAGCAAGTTTTTTTATCACCCGCTTTTTATCACCCGCCCAAGGGCCAGCTCCAGCTCTTGGTGCCTAAGACGAGGCTTAAAACTCTGGGGGACAGGGCCTTCTCTGTGGGGGGACAGGGCCTTCTCTGTGGGGGGACAGGGCCTTCTCTGGGGCTGGACCAAAGCTCTGGAACGTTCTGCCCCCCCCACGCCAAAAGTGCTCCCTCGTTGGAATGTTTTAAGTCTGGTCTTAAGACGCATTTTTACTCTCTGGCCTTTAACACCGCGTGAGTTGTGTGGTCCTATTTTTATTTTTATTTTGTTTTATTTGTTTTATTGTTTTTATTGATTTATTTATTCTTTTTAAATAAGTAAACTAGTATTTTATTGTTTTTATCACATGTTTATAGTTTACTGGTATTTTATTGTTTTGATTACATTTGTGTTGTTTTTACTTTGCGCATATTTAAATGTGTTGATTTTATCTCTGGGCAGCACTTTGGAAACTTGTTTTATAAAATGTGCTATATAAATAAAGTGGATTGGATTGGATTGAAGTTTTTCATCTATTCTAGGGGCACTTGGTTGCCTTTCTGGCACTGGCCTTTCTGACCAGTGCTCTCCTTGTTCCACTTGTTATCTTAGACTTAGATGGACGGCTGCGTCTTAATAAGTTTGCAGTGGTGCCATACTCTTTCCATTTCCAGACAATAGATTGAACAGGGATCAAATCTTGGGAATTTTTGTATAACTTCCCAAAATTTGCTTTGATCCTCTCCACTTAATCCCTGACCTCTCTGGTGGGCTCCTCGGCCTCAGGATATTGTTTATTGATCAATACACTTCGACCATAGCTCCCTCACAATCATTAGCCGGAGAGCAGCTTCAGTGACAGACTAATTCACTCTCGCTGTGTGAAGGAGAGGTTCCGCAGGTCTTTCCTTCCTGCTGCTGTCAGACTGTACAACGAGAATGTGTAACAGGAACTACTGAGTCTGCACAAGTGTTTCTGATAATTCACTAGTAACTTTGTCACTATCAGTACTACTACAGTACTACATATCTGATATTTACTGTTATCAGTACTACTGTATTATTTCATATCTGATAATTCTGCCTTCCACCGTCACTTTACCTGTTGATATCTTACTGTATTATTCATATCCATCTGATAATCCTCCCATTCAAGTCACTTTACCTGTTGATATTATTTCTGATGTTTATTCTGCTCATATTCTCATATTCTCCGCTGCTAATGTATAATATAGACATCTGTAAATACTCTGAACCAAGTGCAATTGTAGCCCAGATTTTCTTATTTTATTTTATTTTATTTTATCTTAAATTTATTGTCTATTATCTTAAACAATAGACTTTGATGTGTGCAATCTGAGTGCTCTTATTTCCTTTCTCTGCTGTGCTCTAATGTGCAACGATGACACTGAAATTTCTCCACTGTGAGACTAATAAAGGTTTATCTTATCTTATCTTATCTTATTAGGGCAAGGTATGAACATTCAGCATTCAACGGACTCAAAAAAAAACTGTATGAATACTTGTGCAAGCCCAACTGTTCACATTTTTCTTTTTTTTTCTTTTCTTTTTTTTAATAACAGAATCATGTATAATTTTACTTTTAATTCACAGTTGTCTGTTAGTTGTGTGTCAACGTCCAGTGAAAAAAATTCTAAATTAAATCTTTATGTTTTTGGCTGTAAACATGACAAAATGAGCATAAGTTCAAGCTTGCATGGCTGTACATAAAGGTACTCAACTGATATCCATCTTTTCAGCAGGTGTATAGTTTAAAGTATAATGCTTTATACATACTTTCCTTTAAAGTGGTTCTCACCCCCGCTCCTCGGAGCTTACGTCACTCACATTTCCTGTTCAAATCTTCCTCTAAATGGGCGTAGCCTGGAGGACTAAAGGGGGCGTGAACGAGACTGGGCCGTTTACATTGCTCTGGGCGGGGGGGCTGCTGACGTCAGGTCCAACTTCTGTGCCAGTGTTGGCGCCAGATTCAAAATTCAAATGTAGTAACACAGGTCGCCAGCAGATGGCGCCTCACAGACGGTTTTAGGCAGAAAGTCTAACTTTCAACTAATTTGCACCAAAGTGACAAGATTATGACCAGGATATGTAGACAACACTGTTGGACACTCATTTATACCGTTTATCAGCAAAAATAAGTGGATTTGAGGGTGAGTTGTCCTTTAAAAAGAATGTAGAAAAATCTGCTTTCTTTATTTAATAATGAGGATTTTATGTTTGAGTACTGGGAAGGTCAGCTACTGCAGTGTAGTGTTGCAAAGCGTAATTCTTACTCTGTCCTGTGACTGCATATTCTGCTGGTCTGAATCATCCATGTCCAGAGCACATAGTTCCAGTTCAATGTCACGGCCAGGTTCACTCTCAATGAGTCCCTCCTCATCCAGGCCATAAACAGTTTGACATGTGGGAAGCTCAGATACTGTCTTCTCTCCATTCACAATAGACGTTTGATCCCCTCTTACATCAAGCTTATCACTAAAATTACATCAAACAAAAGATAAAGGGATAATACATCATCCAGTGCATGACCCATTTCCAGTGAGCAAAGTTGGTTCAACAAACCTGTCATGATATAACCACTAATACAATACATGTTCAATTGTGAAATGCAGTATAAAATCAGAACTCTTACAGATCTGAATAATATCTGTGTGAGCGCATGCGTTTGTGTGTGGGTGGAGCACCTTTCAAGGAAACTGGAATGGCTGGAAGAGTTTGATCCTCTTGAGTTCCACCTGTAGTCAGTGTGGTCTAAGTGGACGTTGTAGTCTAGAATTTTTGAAAAGGTGATCAATATAAACATTAGATGAAAACAAAGTATAAACATGGGCATATTTAGCCTGATTTAAAATGTATTCAGTGTAAAATGAATCTTGCCATTGAAGTTGATGGCCGTGGTGCTGGCAGTGCCCTGCCAGGACGTAGCTTGGACCGGGTCTGTGGTGTGAAAGTCAGTACGAGAGGCTCGAGATATGGCCCCCCACTTGGAGATAATAGGTCCCTCACTAAAAGGAATAATGGGATCTTCATCTTTGAGTCGTTGGTAGTGATCTAATGACTGCAGCCATGGCTTCGCTACACCGCTACCACTGCACCCACTCTCATTATTCTTCTTCAACTCCTACAGGGTAAATAAATGCAGGATATGCAAATAGAGAAGTAGAAATTATAATCATAGAAAGTGTAGAGCATATTAGTTCCTCACCACATGCTCTGAGCAGGAGTGGGTAGACGTATGTGTGAGAGAGTCGAGGCAAGACCAAGGAGAGTAGTGGGCTGAACTTTCCTCCCCCCTGCAGCGGCAGCCCATACATGGACTTCCTCTCCTCTCTGCGTGCTGAAAAAAATAGCAGCAAGAGACTTGATAACTTGAGACCTGAAAAGGATTTTTGTGTTTGTCTCTCATAGATCTCATTGTCCTTACTGTATTTGACACAATACTCTACACAGTTGAACGTCTAGCCAAAAGACAGTTTACGATCTCAAACAGCACTCATTGTTTCAGAAATTATCAATTAAATTACATTGATAATATGAATAATCTCCAGTAAAATGTGTTGTCTCAAAGGCTGTGTCACCACTTGTTAAATTCTTGTGCACTTTCTATCACGCACATAACCACATCTACAATCAGTATGTAATCTTCCCTTTCAGTTGCTAAGCAACTATCCCCAGAATTTGAAAAAAGTGTTTGGTTTAGTTAGCACATTAGCACATGGATATCGCATGAAAAATATTCAAACGCATAATTAACCTCTTAATGCGCTGTTTGTTATTTGTGATAATTGCCCAGGTCATTAGAGGAGATGTTTGTTGCTATAAGTTGGTGAACTACCTCTGTTCCAAAATCCATGGTGAGGATGGGGGAGGACTTAAGCTTGTGGTTGACATGACGATGATGATGATGATGATGGTGCGCCCACTGCTCCTGTTTCCTTCTGAACAGATCCTCATAACCCAGAGGAGCATGACCATAGTCCTGAGCAGCATAAAAATAAATGTATGAAAATTATGACTTAAATAATACAATCTTGTTGTATTATGAATATATATAAATTATATAAACATGAACAAGAGTAATTAATCATGTTAAATAATCAATGATTACATTTATTTCAGTTGTGATTCATCTATTTGATTTATTGCAGTTTGTAACTTCAATAAAAATAGAGGATTTTTTTGCCTAATTAATAGTGGTATTTTTAGTGTGAGCGGATAATAAAGAGTGAAGAAGCAGAGACAAATTTGGGTGAGGAGTGGGTGGACGGCAGAGGAGGTACAGTTTCACTGCAACACTGTAGATGTGAGAATGTGTGGGAGAATGCAGACAGTAATGCTGCACAAGTGTTAAGCAACTTATGCAGCTTCATTGCAATTATTGGGAAATAGGGCTTAATGTTAACGTAACTAGTGTTGTAGAAATGACAATGTCATTTTTTATGTGCTATAAAAGTTTGTGCTGGACAAATGTCAGTTTTGGTTCTGCCCTAGCCTGGTCGTACCACACCATAGTACAAATTACATTTGGTACTAAGGTCTGGAGGTGCTCCATTGACTCCGTGAACAGGTGGGAGGGGCTAACTCCTTTTGCAGATTGAAACCATTGGATCTGAGTTTACTGTGACGTATGTAATGCGCCCAAGTGCATCGTTAGCATTTAGCCTAGCTTTAGCCATCTCCTTTGCCGCTAACGGAGCCCGTGGGGAGTAGCGCCACATTTTTTTCTAGCGATTACATTTGCTAAACATTCCTGGTGCTCCGGATTCCATTTCTTGATAGACCTGATTACTTTACTATCGCATTTTTCGCCATTGCCAAACTACGACCTTCCCGTTCGATGCAAACTCTTGAGCCACAACTAACTACAACACTCTCCTTCCGCGCTCGCTGATTGGTCGAAATTCAACCGATTGTAATCACTAACCCAGGGACCAGACCCATACGTTACATGCAGTGAAATGATGAGAGTGTACGGATGGATAAGACCAGGCTAGTTCTGCCCCATCTTAGCTCCAAGACACGTTAGTGTCATATCAACCAAGCTGAGGACTGCACTCAAAGCCAGAGTTCTGGTGGTTCCTAAAGTGTCAAAACCTCCTATACTGTGGCGGTATCTCCCTATCCAGCTCCCAAAAAAGCCTTTCATTTAACTGTTTATACTATTTACTCTATACAGCAGTTCCACAACACCAGTTTCTCGCTTTCAAAAGCAGTTTTGGTTCTCCCACATTGTTCACAATTTTCACATTCATGAATTTTTGGCCTAACGCTTTTAGATACACTTTTTCATCCAATCAGCTCTCAGCACAAAGTGTCATATAGTGACTCACAATTGTCCACATACGTTATTATGTAGTAATCTATTTCTTGTCTATTTTTTAAATATTACTGTTTGTTTCTGGAATTAGTTATTACTCACCCTCTCCATTTGTCTGTGGTCTGCTGGGGAACAATAGTTACTGTCCAGAGAGTTGAACCGCTCTTTCAGTGGAGGCTGATAGACCGTAGAATGCAGCACCTCTGGGGGGAGTGAGTTGCTCCTTGCGTCTTCTCTGTGGTACAGCTGTGGTGACAACATGGTGATTATCCACCGCAACCGCTAACATAAGCCGCGCCGCACAAGTATTCACTAGGCTTTAAGTTTGCTATAGAGCATTTGGATGATCCAGAAGAGGATTGGGAGAATGTCAAATGGTCAGATAAAACCAAAATAAAACTTTTTGGTAAAACTCAACTCGTCGTGTTTGGAGAAGAGATGCATCCAAAAGAACACCATACCTAATGTGTGTGGGGCCCCTGGGGGGCCCCTGCAGGTCAGGACCTCAGACAGTCCCTGGCTCTTGATGATAACGAATAATAATAATGCATCGGTTTTATACACTGTAGCGCTATTTTGGACTTTCAAACACGCTTTGATTGTCATTATTATTAACTCCATACACGGTGGTGATAAACTACTACTGTAGCCACAGCTGCCACAGCTGCCCACTATCCTTTTGAGTCTGATCCAAACCTGCAGCTTCATTGATGAGAGAAACATTCACCGACCTTTACCACTATATTTGTGAATTCTGATGAATTATTCCTCTAATTGCTTTATGATTTGAATGTTTGATTGTTTTATTTTGTGAAGCTCTTTGAATGTCCTGTGTATGAATTGTACTATACAAATAAACTTGTCTTGCCTAATAACTTTTTGTCACAAAACTAACAGCCAAACCTCCTCGATTAAACTTCATTATGAGTATAAAAGTAATTTCCAAGCGTTATAAGAAACAAGAATGCCCTACCTGCGGTCTCCAAACTCTCCTGCTGTCGTAGAGCGGGGCGTAAACACCATGGGCTGGAGCAAGGGTCCCATACGGAGACTGACCAGGGTGTCTATGGAAGGCGGGGTGGCTCATTCGCTCTTGGGCGTGCGTGTACCCAGGGGACAAGGAGGAGGTCGGGTGTGGTGGATGAAGATCACAGGGGAAGGATGGTGGTGGACCCAGCGATGGAGGCATCAAGGATTCCGTAACATTTGATGAGCGAAGGAATTGAGCCATGCAAGTTTTTTGAGGGCCGTGAAGCGAGGGGTAGAATGAGCCTGCTGGAGGAGAAAGGAAAACGTTATACTTCACCCCACACCCAAGGACCACAGATGAAAACTCGCTCTTAGCTCTTATGCCTTGTGTTTGTTTGATTCTCTGTTGGCGAATCGAAAACGTCCTCTGAGGTTCACTGCTGAATATATATATATATATCTTTAATAAAACACACACACACCTTTGGCCCTCCGCGGGCGGTTATCCCTCTCTAAGACCAAGATGTCCGAGGTTGTTCCAGGGATCTGCTGTACCCACTCCTCCAGCTTCAGGGTCACCGAGTGCACCGATCACCACGGGCACTACTGTGACCTTTACCCTCCAGGCCCTCTCACTACTGTGACCTTTACCCTCCAGGCCCTCTCACTACTGTGACCTTTACCCTCCACGCCCTCTCACTACTGTGACCTTTACCCTCCAGGCCCTCTCCAGCTCCTCTCTGAGACCTTGGTATTTCTCAAGCTTTTCATGTTCTTTTTTCCTGATGTTTCCATCGCTTGGAATTGCCACGTCCACCACAGCTGTCCTCTGCCCTTTGTCCACCTCAAAGTCAGGTTGGTTTGCCATCAGTGTTTGTCAGTAACGCGTTACTGTAATCCAATTACTTTTTCTGAGTAACAAGTAAAGTGAGGGATTACATCTGCTTCTTCTAAGCAAGCCGCGTTACAATGCGTTACAAAACCATGAGTGTTGTGACCGATTTTTTTTATTTTTTTATTTAACCTTTATTTAACCAAGAAAAATCCCATTGAGATTAAGAATCTCTTTTTCAAGGGAGTCCTGGCCAAGAGGCAGCAAAGTTACACATAAACACAACAGATAGATACAATTACATAAAAAAATGACAGATATACAGACTAAACACATCAAGTAAAACATTTACTGGTGATTGAGGCAGTCTCGAAAACTCTGAGTTTTGATTTAAAAGCATTCAAAGACAAAAGCTCGGTCAGTTTCCAGTCTCGCTGGAGCATGTTCCAAGCAGAAGGGGCTGCATGGACAAAAGCTCTTTTTCCAAACTCTGTGCGGACAAAAGGCACAGTAAGTAACAGCTGCTCATTGGACCTCAGAGCATAAGACTCTGTGCTCCTCTGTGTGAGTAATGTACAGAGGTCAGAGGGCAGGAGCCCCAGAAGAGCCTTGTAAATAAAGGTGTACCAATGACACTGCCTCCTAGTGGACAGGGAGCGTACAGCTCACAGTGATGTGTCAGAGCTCCACAGTTTGTGATGAACCTCAGGGAGGCATGATATATTGAGTCCAGCTTTTCAAGACACGAAGAGGTAGCATTCATATAAAAAAGGTCACCATAATCTAAGACGGATAAAAAAGTTGCAGAGACAAGGCGCCTTTTAACCCCAAAAGAAAAACATGTCTTATTTCGAAAGAAAAAACCCAGCTTAATTTCTTCACAAGTGCATCAATAAAAGGTTTAAAAGTGAGGTATTCTTATAGATCCATGGTTGTGACTTTTGTTGTATCGTTGACAAGTGATTGACAAATGAATGACACATGAGAGATGCGATCACTGCGACGTGATAAACAGACACACATCGAACATTACAAAGACTGTAAATATTACAAGCCGCATTATGCTTAATCGCATAATGAGAACGACCACTGAGCATTTTGTTCTTGGAGATACCGGCATTACTTTGAGTATGAGGCGGCCGTGGTCACAATTATCAGCGTCCGTTGTAAACTATGTGGGAAGAAAAATACTATCGACGGCAAAGAACTCCACATCCAACCTTAGTAAGCGCCTAGCAACCCGGGAAAACGGGAGAACCATAGACTGTTCCTGGTGATTTTGTCACGTTGAGCACATGAGCGAGATTGTTTTGTTTTACCGGTGGAGAAGACATGCACACCATTTTAACTATACGTACGTAAGCCAACTCACCCCCGAACCTTTTAAAACACGAGCAGAGTCAACACAATCTACGGTCAACACACAAATATTACACAAGTCGCTACAGAGCGTCTCATCAAAGCTGCTGCCGCCTCTGACAGCACAACACCGACACGCTGAAAGAACCTGGACTTGGATTGTCAGAAAACCTCGAAGACTGAAACAAATAGACTTAGGTGTATGTTGTAGAAGAGATGTTGTCTTTCATAAATACTTTAAGTAAAATACAAAATGCAGATGGATTGGACACTATATGTGACAGAAAGAACAAGTGCTACAGCAGGAAGTGGCTACATAGTAATTTACTTTCATGCCACTTATTTGTACTTCATCTCTATTTAAATTACTTTAATAAAGCAAACATACATACAAAATATGATTCTGTTCTGTTCGTACATAAATACATGCTGAAGTAATCCAAAATTGATGTAACTTAGTTACTTTCTTGCAGAAGTAACTAAGTATTGTAACAAATTACTTTTTTTTAGAAGTAACTTGCCGAACACTGTCTTCAATTTCAATTACCATTTGAACAGTCTGTATGTGAAAGTCCCACGCTCATTCTCCACCACCTTTGGAGGAGTTTCTTAGACCTTGGGGTTTCCAGCCCATACTCTGCACAGATGTTTCTGTACACTATGCCAGCCACTTGGTTATGGCGTTCCATGTAGGCCTTCCCTGCCAGCATCTTGCACCCTGCAGTTATGTGTTGGATCGTCTCAGGTGCCTCTTTGCACAACCGACACCTTGGGTCTTGTCTGGTGTGGTATATCTGGGCCTCTATCGCTCTGGTGCTCAGGGCCTGTTCCTGTGCAGCCATGATGAGTGCCTCTGTGCTGTCCTGTAGGCCAGCCCTTTCTAGCCATTGGTAGGACTTCTTGAGATCAGCCACTTCTGTTATGCTCCGGTGGTACATGCCGTGTAGGGGCTTGTTCTCCCATGATGGGCTCTCCTCCAGCACCTCCTCATCTCGCCACTGCCTGAGACATTCACTGAGTACGTCATCCGTTTTGGCCTTCTCCATGATGTAGTTATGGAGTTTGGATGTTTGGTCCTGGACAGTGGCTCTCACACTCACTAGTCCTCGGCCTCCTTCTTTACGGCTTACGTACAGTCTCAGGGTGCTGGATTTGGGATGGAATCGAAGAGCTTTCAAGTTTTAACATCTGTGATCTGAATCCGTGTTAATTTTGCCAAGAAATTCTGGTAACACTTTATAATACTGTTTGATAATAAATAATATATAAATGTTAAGTAATCATTGACTCCTAAGTAATGAAACATTAACAAATGTCTTTATATTAACAAATGATCATCTAAACATTAACTCAGTCAACAAGTCATATTTGTTATTTTTTAGGAAATCATTACATACTAATAATTTAGTACTCATTAAGACATGTTTTATTTAAGTGTTTAAAATCATTCGTAAATGATTTACTAATTGTCATTAATTAATTATCTAATGTTGATCATTCACATGTAAGCATTATTATAACTTGACCTAATTATTAACAACTCATTTATGATTGTTAAATAATTAAGAATATTGAAATTCACATTTACTACTCATTACCAAAGTGTTTCCAGCTAATGAACAATGATTAAAATCATTTACAAATGATTATTGCAATATTTCTGGTTAATGGAATGCTCATATTAACAAATCATGTACAATACATTAGTTATACCTTCTGTGTATACGTTCATGCTTGCTAATCATTAAAGAGCGACTAAACACCAAATCAACTTTTTTTAACTCATAAACTGCATAAATATGTATATTGTAGTGCTCTCTACAAATCCTGGTCATTTTTTTGACATTTTAGAGCAAATTAGATAAAATCTCACTTTTGAGCCTAAAAACGTCCTCTCAACCTTTTCGGTGGTACTGCATTTGAGTTTGGTCTTGGCCTCTCCATTGACTCTGAAATTCTGTGTGACGTCAGTTGGTGTGTGTGACGTCAGTTGGTGTGTGTGACGTCAGTTGGTGTGTGTGACGTCAGTTGGTGTGTGTGACGTCAGTTGGTGTGTGTGACGTCAGTTGGTGTGTGTGACGTCAGTTGGTGTGTGTGATGTCAGTTGGTGTGTGTGACGTCAGTTGGTGTGTGTGACGTCAGTTGGTGTGTGTGACGTCAGTTGGTGTGTGTGACGTCAGTTGGTGTGTGTGACGTCAGTTGGTGTGTGTGACGTGCATCTGTCTGTGCCAGTGATATAAACCCATCCAACTCTCACACACGCCCCAGCTGCAGTTTGGAGTATTCTGGCGCCATTTTTTGTCTCGCTTTTTATTCGTGGACGAAAATGTTCCGTTTTTGTCCCCAAAAATATATTTGTCACAAAAAATATGACAATATTTTGTCAACAAAATGAGCACTAGTCTGAATCTCTTCCTTTGACCACCTGATTATTCCTCCAGGGTATCTGATCTCTCTTGCCTGGCTTTGTTCTTGCCAGTGAGTCGGCTCCTTAAGACCTGCCTTACTCTCTGGAGGTATTTGGCTGTTGCCGTTTCCTCCTTGCCTGTTCAAGGTTTCCATTTGCATGTGGAATACCAAGATACTTGTTGCTATCGTTCCCTCTGGGAGTGAGATTTGTTCTGTGTGGACTACCATCCCTCTCTCTCGCTCTTGGCGTACAGCTTGATGTCATCCATGTAGAAGAGGTGACTGATCTTTGCTCCGTTCCTGAGGCGGTATCCAGAGCCAGTCTGGTCAATTACTTGGCTCAGAGGGTTCAGGCCTATGCAGAACAGTAGTGGGGACAGAGCATCTACATCTGCATGGAGCTATACACACACACACCTGACCTAATGCGCACGCACACATGAAGCTTAAGCGCAAATTCAGACCACTGCCACAGCTCTCACCCCATCCAAGGGCAGCCAATCACGCAACTCTACCAGCCTCTCGAGCCTCAGCCAATCACTCACCTCGGCCAGCACCCCTGCCACCTACTGACAGCAAAGCGGGCAGTTTAAAAAGCAGCCACTTCTTATTGACCAGCGCTTCCTTAAGCTCTTCACACCCACCGCCTCCTTGAGCTCCTGCTCTGGCTCCTGCTCTGGCTCCTGCTCCGCCTACGCCCCATTCA